TTCTTCTCTGCAGTCACTCATCGCTTAAGTCTCACATCTTAACTTACAAAAAGAAAAAAAAAAGTCTTTAAATGAGTTCCAAATAAGTATTTGCTTTAAACAGTTCTGACAGTAATTCCCATGATCCCACACACACACTCTCTGGTGGAAGTGACTGAACCTCAGAGAGTGTTTTGGTGACACCTACAGGACGTTTTATTTCCCATTGACGACAAAACACGGAAACCTTAACACCGTGGTTTCTGTCCGTCGTCCGGCTTCACCGTCAGCCGCGACTCGACCGCAGACAGATTTGCATTTTAACAAGAGGGAAATTTACAGACTTCTAACGATATACGGGACGAACAGGTGCAATAAATAAAGGCAAATACCTGCAATTCTACTGCATCTCGTATGTACTTGATCATTAGATGTTATAAATTGTGGCGTAAAGGTGAATCTGTCAGAGGCACAGCTGCGGCAGTAATGTTCTTCCTGTAGTAAAACCTCTGATTAATCCTGCAGGTCGCGCCTGCTGGAGTTGCAGGTTCATTCGTTCGTTCTTTTATCGCTTGAAGTTGCAGGTTGAATGCCCTGCTAAAGGAGAGTGCGGCAGTGGTTGTTGTGGAGCAAAAGATAATGATGGAGAAAACACTGCAGGAAAAGTAGAAAAATTAAAAAAAAAAAGTGTGTGTGAGAGAGTGTTAGAGTACAGACGTCGGCGCATGTGTGTGCTGAAGTATGCTGATAGCCAGAGTAAGCTCTGGGAATTTAATCTCAGCAGAGCTATACTGTGCTCCCCTGATAACTAAACACACACACACACTCTCACACACACACAAATGAGAGGAGCAGGGAGGTGGAAAGTACCACTGCTACATTTTCATTCACAGAAAATATCAACAGCCACAGTTTGCCCACTGCTGATATCAGTGCTGCCATTAATCCACACCAATCCGTCCATCTGTGCGTCCGTCTGTCCGTCATTTATATTTTTCTGTGTTATTTTCCACATTTTTTTGACATCATATCATCGGCCGAGCAGACAAACTCCCAGACTCAGCTGCCGTCTCCGTATCAGGGCCACATCACAAAAAGCTGACTAAGAAAAAGGGGCAATAAAACAGAGATAAAACTCAAACCTCAGACTGATTTTTTTTTTTTTTTTGCCCCCTAGGGCGTCTGTAAATTCTGCCACTGTCACAGACCCACACAGAGGGCGTTGAAGTTACGACCGGGGGGTTAACAGCCCTGGACTCCACCCTGCACCGCAGCGGGTCAGGGTTCAGTTCCTGTGTAACACCGTGTCGGAGCAGGTAGCTGTAAAGTTTCTTACTGGCCCGTGTCACCGCGGCTGTGGTCCCGGCACCTGTTAAAAATGAAAGGGTTCAGTGAAGTGTGAAAGGACGGGCTGAGCAGCGTGACGGGTCCTGTTCTGCCGTCCCCGACGCACGGTGGGAGATAAATCCTGGATGTGTTAATTACCTTGTCTGACCTGATTCCCTGCGTGTGAATGTATTATGTGACGGAGACAGTGATCTGTCACATGGGACTGCAGCACCGTGTGTGTGTTTACGTTTGTCAGTGACAGCTCTGCACCAACGTACAATGCACAAGTCAACCAGCAAACAATAACATCTCAGTGTACGAACACACACACACATACTGTTTCTTGTAACTTTCACATAGACATACTGTATTTGCCATAAACAGGGACGTTATTGACTTATGGTATGAGCACACTCAAAGTTGCAGTATTGGTATCAGACATGAAAGAGTTGTATAGAACAATGATATGCCTAATCCTAATCCTAATCCTAATTCCAAACTGAATCTTGAGCCTCAAAGTGTGAAGGTCCTCACAGGGACAGAGTGTCCCCAAAACCATAATACTGTCCCCACTAGTATAGCTAAAGCCCTGACACACACACATACACACGTGGACTAATGTAGCCTTTCTTTTTCGTGATTGTTTATTGATCCTGTTTATCTGGATAACTGAACCATAACTTACCATGACTCTAACAATTACCAGTCAACGCCCAGACTTTACCCATCATGCAATTCAAGCAACTGAACCATAACGTCATCCCTGACTCTAACAATTACCAGTCCATGCCCAGACTTTACCCATCATGCAATTCACACCGTAACCCTAACTAAACGGGTACATACCAGGTTCTGGTCTCCATAAGGACTACTGGTCCTATGAAGACCTGGAACACTGCTACAGCATGTAGTATTCAAACATGAATACACATTATTTGTACTACGTTTACAGTTGGCTAGAAGTAGAGCAGTATTGGTACGTGTCCAGTAAAGTTCTTTTCTTTTCTTTTTTTTAATTTCATCAAAACTACACTTCTGTGTAGGAGGTTTTCCAAAAACCCTGGGTTCACCGCCCGCTCTGCTCCCTGCAGATAAGTTCCCGTTGCTCTCAACCTTTCCTATCGCTGTTAAACATCAGCTGTCCAACACTTTAAATGCCAAAAGAGCCAATCTCAAATCAGACCCTGGAGCAAAACACAACTAGCAGCACGCCACGGTTCAAAACCGAAGCGTGGGAGTGTTGGAAGATTAAAAGCAGATTTTACTGGGAACCGTCCGATGAAGCCGTGACAGGTTCAAAAGTCTGAGACCTTTCTTCTGCTTGAAAGTATCCGCGGACTTTTAGACCTCACTTTAAATGCACCTGCCCTTTACAGCGCTGAATTGATGGAGCGGGTTCAGAGTGTCACAAAGAAAAACGCTGTCGTCGTGAGGAGTTCTGGTTCCACGGTTCTTACCCTGGTGAAAAAAAAAATCATCCATTTATAATTGAAAATATTGGCAGATGTTCCATCATTATCCATTTGAACCTGAACTCTGGGTAATGTTGGAGATGATGATTTATTCATTAAACTCTGGACGACCTTTTCATGTGTCTGATCTGCGACTTCAGATTCAGTGAATTTAATGGTCGACGGGAATTCATTCCCCATGTTTGAATGTGAAGAAAATTACAAAATATATTTATTATGTTTTTGTTTTTTTTATTGCTACTAAAAAAACTAAATCATTGTATCACTATGTGAAACCAGACATAAAAAACTTGGTTGGGTTTCTGTTAGTAATTTTAAAAACTTCACAGTCTAAGAGATTTTTTTGTTCTTGGAACAGCTCAGTTTCAATAATAGATATTTATTTCCTAACATTTTGTAAAAACTACAAACTGTAGTTTTTCTTGTTAATGGTTTTCGTGTTCTTCCTTCCACCTGCTGATCTTATCAGTTGATTTATTTCAGCTGCAAGTTTTGACTCTGTTTTTTAATCTAACCCCAGGAAGAGGTAAAAAAAAAAAGGAGAAAAAGTAGTTGGTAAAAAATTTTTTTAAAAAACACCGATCCTTTGGTCTCAGCGAAAAAAATCTAAAAAACACCGATCCTTTGGTCTCAGCTACGTGACGGCTGCAGAAGGAGATGCTAACCAGCTTCTGTTTTTGTCTTTGTCTTTTCAGTCATCTTGAGTCGGAGCGCAGCGTCTTGAAGAGGCGTGAGTGGGAGAGGAGGAATCAGGAGGTCCAGCAGGATGAAGATCTGTTCTCCACTGGTTTCAACCTGTTCGGTGAACCCTACAAAGTAAGAGCGCCGACATCTTGGACACCTTATTATATCAGGATATATAACCTGATTTTGACAGGGATTTGATCTGGTCGACGGCAGGATTTATTTTGTTTTTGAGCTCAGGAGTAAATCTAATAAGTCATGCAATTTTTTAAAAAGATTTCATGACGCGTTTGAGTAGTAAATCTTCTAAACTGAAAACTGTCTTGATGTAAAGTACCGGTTCTCAACCCCCGGTCTGAGGACCACTGCTGGTCCGCACGTCATGTGGTAGCGGGCCACAGTGGGACACAGAGAAAAAAAATTACTTCAGTTTAACTCATTTTCTTTCAAAAATAATCCAGTCAAATCCCTTTACTTTTTTCATTCAAAAATAATCTGTCAATGTGTCAAAACAACAGGTTGTTCAGACTCAGAAATGTTATGATCCTCCAACGCAGTACCGGCTCATACCAGCTGACTGATCCTTGCTCTGGGACCGCTGTTTTAAATAGTCATATCAAGTTATTAACCTTAACAAAATAACTTTGTTATGTTTTTCTTGCCCTCCATTATTTCTCAGCCTTGTTCACGTGTTGTTGGTGTCTTATGGTCCAAACGACAGCTCATATATCACCACTGTCCACTGTACTGTAGTACCCCCCTCATCTGCTCCCCCCCGAGACTGTTTACGCCGTCATCTGTTCCTCGTCTGCCCTGCTCCCAGACGCCGGCGGTGCCGTCACTTTGTTTCCGCCGTAGCTGAAAGTGAATCAGTGAAGCATGGAGTCCACGGCCCTGGTGTATAAAATTGATTTTGGTTTGTTAACTCTCATTTGTGACCGGCAGACACTTATACAGGCGGTTATGAGCCAAGTGTGTTGACCTTGGGACAGACTTGGCAGAATGTGTTTCACTGCTGATGCTGCTGATGCTGATGCTGATGCTGCTGTGTACAAATGCCAGGGAACCGAACGCCTTCACAGAAACCGAGGCAGCAGATAAAAGTCATTCTAAAGATGAATCTCATCCATTCTTTGCCACTAATTAAGAGAGTTCAGGTCGAGTCGGGACTTTTCAGATGTGCTTTACCACCAGGGGGCAGTTTGTTGGACCACATATGAGAGTGAGAGAGTTTATTGGTTTAAGACTTTTCACAGAAAGAATTCACAGGTTGATAAAAAAGTAAGAATTATAAAAGAAAACACTAAAAATACTTACTCGTAAATCCAAATAAATCCCACATCTGACTGAAGAGCCTGACATGAAATAATACTCAGGCCAAGGACTTTTAAACTAAAGAAGAGATGAAGCAGTGACCAATGTCAATGTGTTTTTTTATTTTAAAAATGATAATCATTACTTTAAAAAAATGTGTTTATTTGCAATTTTTAAAATCAATCCATTTTTTTAAATCAATTGCTGGATATCAAGTGGACCCTATTAGAATTCCTGGCGACCCAATTTGGTGTCATGATCCCATGGTTAAGAAACACTGTGTTAGAATATATTGCATTGGTTTATTTTTTGTGTTTTAAGAAAATCAAATCATTAAACACAAAATTGGGGGAAATATAGAGAATTAACTCCTTTAAAAAATATATTATTTCCTCAATCAGCATCTCTGTTTCTGTGTACATCTGTACTGTACTGTCCTGTACTGTACTGTACTGTACTGTACTGTCCTGTACTGTACTGTGTCCGTCTTTGTGTCCAACTCTACAGCACTCATTTCTCCGTCAGCTATTAGCTAATCCCTGGTCTAATCCTGTTAAAGACTGTTACGCCGTTAGCAGCTATTTGGCATGATCTATTCACACACACACACATATACACACACATATACACATAAAACACACATGTGGCTGTAGACACGTGTACCGTAGGTTTTCCTCCAGCGCTCCTCTGTTTTCCATTCTGCCTCTCAGTAAATGTGTTTTCTGTTCCTCTTCAGCCACAAATCTTTTATTCATGAGTCTGAGATGGAGAGGAGATTGATAGAGAATTTATTCACAGCCAACTTTGGCTCACTGTGCTGTGCTGTGTGTGTGTGTGTGTGTGTGTGTGCATGGACATTAATTGCATTTCATGTTAGCACTTGATTGTATTTTCCTTCCTCTCCCATGAATCTACTATAATTAGTAAACCAAGCTTAATCATGCGAGCTGTTCAATTTTTCTACCATTTAAGGTTGTTTTTTTTTGATAATTTTTGCACAGCTAATGTAGAAAAATTATGAATAACACGGAGTGCTAAGAGATTTAATTATTAAATAAATTTAAAAAATGAAAATCGGTTAAAAATTTCCAACGTCAAGCAAAACAAAAAAAAATAAAAAAGAAAATCGGTTAAAAAATTTCCAACGTCAAGCAAAAAAAAAAAAAAAAAAAAAAAAATCCAGCTACCTGAGAGTGTATTGTAATCAAACATTTCTGCTGCCCGCCGCTGGATTGTGCTTGTTGCAGCGTATTAGTGGTGAGAGCTGTTAAAGCACATGAAGTGCAAATTTAAGAGCCTCTCCTGGTCATTGATTCTGGGAGTTGTTAAAAACTGTGCTTAGGAGATAATGTTCAAGTAATGCTCCAGCCACTAGATTATCCCGGGGATTTGGTCGGTAAATCTGAGTGAAACACAACCTCCATTATCTCCCACAAATGTTCTGGACGTAATGTATATGAAGGGGGGTAGAGGAGGAGGAACACGCCTAACATTACAGTGATTGGTCAATGGATTCTGTTGTAGGAACATTATATTATTAGTAGTATTTTTATTATTAATATTATATTATTATTACCAATAATACCAGTAATTATAATAAAATTAACAGTAATATTTTGGCTCCTGTGCTCAGCAGTTGGTGTCGATGCAGTTTCTTGGTTAATATTCTTGTTTCCTATCTTCCTTCTGGAACTTTTTTTTTCCCTCCACCTTCGTTGATTCACTGACTTTTTCAGATGAATTTTGTTCATTGTTTTGATTTATAACCAAAGTCTCCCATCCAACAAAACTTTCTCCAGGCTCAGATGTGTACTTTCTGCTCAGATGAATACTTCTGCACTCCGAGGAGTACTGTACACTGTGTATAATCTCTCAGAGCTGCTGACTCAGGGATTTCTTCCCGACATTTTTATTTGTTTATTGAAATGACCGGTAAATCAGTTCCAAAAGTTAAACTTTCTGTAAATTTAACGCCAGAAAACTTGTTTCATCTGATCTTCAGTTGTTAATATGTGACAGCGACTACTACATTGTACTACACACAGTATATGTTTCTGTCAACTGCTTAATTATACACATATATTTTTACATGAATCGACTATTTGTACTAGTATACTATACACTATATATTTATTTATATATACACAACAACTATATTTGTAACTACTCTACTTTCTATTTATAAATTATTATTTTTATACATTTTTATTTTAACTTTTATTTGCATCTACTTTGATAATTATTACTTTGACAGTATTGTAGCCTCAGGTTATTTAACCTTCAGTATTTAGAATATATAACATATATGTGCATATACAATACACATACACAGGAGTAATATATATACAGTGTATAAAGAGAACAGGAAGAAAGTGTATTTTATTTTGCTTCGTTTTGGTCCAACCTCTGGTTCCACCCCTGTTTTTGTCCTTTCACAAATTCCTAGATCCAACCTCTGGTTCCACTCCTGTTTTTGTCCTTTCACAAATTCCTATCACACAGATTTATAATCGAAGAATCCCTCAGGGATTCGCACCAACAACCCCTTCCTGAAATATTTTTGACTAAAATCTCAGCAGTGTTCTGCAGCGGCTGAAGTCGTTCCACTTCAGTCAGAGCTGCCCTGAGGTCTGAGTGTGAGAGCGTGGGTCAGGCCCGCCATGATTCCTGCTCCATTAATTTTACTCTTCCTTCCTGGACTGAAGCCTCCAGAGCGCAGGACGTGTTTAATTAATCACCCAATACCGATGTCTGTGCTGCGGTCAGTCAGTCCGTTCGTTCGTCCGTCTCTCTCTCTCTCTCTCTGCTCCTCTTCAGACGAATGAAGAGGGCTTTCCATTAAATGTGCAGAAATGAAGTTGTAATTAATGGACTCTTCTGTCTCCCCCGTCCTTCCCCCTCCTTTGTTCTCCTCCTTCACGCTCCAGACTAATAAAGGTGATGCCTTGGCCAGTCGTGTCCAGAACACACTGGGCTCCTATGAAGAGATGAAGGACCTGTTGACCAGCCACTCCAACCAGAGCCACTTGGTGGGAATCCCCAAAAGCAGCAGTGCCAACAACAACCTTCAAACTCCGACCACGTCGACTTCAGAGAGGCCCACCGTGGACTCCCAGCTTTTCAGTGAAACCTTGAGAGAAGTAACAGGTGGAGGAGGAGGAGGGGGAGCAGACACAAGTGGAGATAAGCGTTTGGGAAATGCGACTTCTTCAACCGCCACCTCCATGCAACCTCCGGCTCTGACGGCCTTATCGTCCAGCACATCAGCATCAGCGGCCTCACATCACACGTCCAGGAAGACAGCGGGTTCCATGGACTGGTCACACTTGGTGGGAATCCCCAAAAGCAGCAGTGCCAACAACAACCTTCAAACTCCGACCACGTCGACTTCAGAGAGGCCCACCGTGGACTCCCAGCTTTTCAGTGAAACCTTGAGAGAAGTAACAGGTGGAGGAGGCGGAGGAGGAGGGGGAGGAGGGGGAGCAGACACAAGTGGAGATAAGCGTTTGGGAAATGCGACTTCTTCAACCGCCACCTCCATGCAACCTCCGGCTCTGACGGCCTTATCGTCCAGCACATCAGCATCAGCGGCCTCACATCACACGTCCAGGAAGACGGCGGGTTCCATGGACTGGTCAAAGGCAGCGCACGGACAGACTTCCCAGGGAGCCAGCCTGGTCCTGGGTCTCGGCCAGAGCTCTCAGGGTCAGGCTGCTGCGGGGGCCAACGGTGGGAGAGGAAAGATGTCCCTGCTGGAGGAGGAGCAGATTCAGAGGCACGAAGAACTGTTCAGTTCACTGAAAGATGAACTTGGTCTAAAAGGAGATTCGAGCCCTTCTTCCTCTTCGTCGTCCTCCTCCTCCTCTTCTTCCTCTAGAAGACACTCCTCCCACACTTCTAAAACCCTTCCTCTACCAGGTAAACAGTAAACAAATGTTATGCCACTAATATTGATTTTTACTTTTTTTTACTGTTATTCATTTACACTGACTCTTTCTTTGTCTTCCCATTATGTCAGTAAAATGTTAAAACTTAAAAAATTTCAAAAATCTAATCTGATTAATCACAGGGTAGCTGTGGATTAATCTTGATAGTAATTAATGGCAGTTAATTAATTCCTCTATGCATTAATTTAACTCACATTTATCACAGTATATCATCTGCTTATATGAAAACCGATGTTTGTTGTTACTAGACTTTAGTTGAATGAGAATTTATAAATCTACACCTTTTACTTTAACAATAGTAAAAGACTGAAAGGTCAAAGCTAGCTTTACAACATGATTATTTACTTTTTTTTGTTTGTTCCTCGTTTGTCCACAGATGGCGCCCACTTCAAGTCTTCCAACAATGCCGACAACGGCGGGCATTTCAAATCCTCGCCGTTCGAAAACGATACGCGCTCTCACTTCTCGACATCGTCGTCACCCTTGGCGTCAACGTCTGTCGTAACCACGCCCACTCCTGGTCTCACCACTCCCACATCTGGACTCACCACTCCCACCTTCCCACCCGGTAGCCTGTCGGGGAAACCGGTGGCAGTGCAGCAGAAGCCGACGGCATACGTTCGACCGATGGACGGTCAGGACCAGGCGCCCAGTGACTCACCCCAGCTCAAACCCCCTCTAGTGGCCACGGAGGGCTTCAACACCAACCAGGCGTACGGAGGAAACCCTGGAAATGTGAAGAGCAAACTGCCGAAACTGACTCTGAGTCACACGGGGGAGGTAAGAGACGCCCACTGGGCCACCGTCACACTCTTATAACAGTACTGTACTACATCACTGTACTACATCACTGTACTACATCACTGTACTACTGACTACAAGTTAGATGCTGAGAATATTGATGCAGTAAATCAGGGTTTGGTTTGTACTACAGTTCTGATACATATGGTACAAACATCAGAACTTTATGACCCAGGGAATCAAGTCAAAAAGTTCTGAGACAAAACCAAAATCTTTATTGATGATCTACTGCGTCATTTTCCATGTCAGTCTAAACACAAACTCTCAGAGAATTCCAGTCTCATCCCGTGTCTTTACTTTGTTTAAGGGAAAAAAAATCCAGTTTTCCTTCAAATGTTCTATCAATTCAGTGAAAAGTAAAGACAGAGCTGGAATTATTCCACCAGGCAGATCTTTTTTTTTGTTGCAGGTTTTCAAACAGTTTAGGTTAAAATTACATATTTTTTTGCACTGAAACGTAATGTGATTCAACATCTAACAAAGACGTGTGGAAACTGTCTGACCTTCACTAGTTTTACTTCAGGAAACACTTTGCTTCTCACCAGCCATTATTCAGTTTTGGTTTTGGCAGGTGGGGGGGTAGGGGGGGGGGGTGAAGGTTCACGCGCACACATTCTGACGTAGTGGTTGAAGTGATTGTTGATGTTTTCCTTCTCACTCATTTCTCTGGTGTTCTGTCCAGTCGGTGTGTGACGGTGTTGAGTCACGCTGCTCCACAACTGTTACAGCAAATTAACATCACACCATTACTCACTCACTCACTCACACTTCCCGACTCACCCCTGACAACCTGCCCCCCCCCACACACACACACTGCCCTTTTCTCTCTCTGTGGCCCTGTCCTTTTTAAACTTTTTAAAAAGCAAAAACACACAGAGCTCAATGATGTCGTGAGGGGGTAAGCAACCGCTATGTCAAACTAGTTGACGGGTGAGTAGTCAACCACATCGAGCAAGCCAGCTGTTCCTGTGCTCTCATAGAGGGTGTCAGTGTGTGTGTGTGTGTGTGTGTGTGTGTGTGTGTATACACCAATCCAAATGAGCCTGGGATGAAGGTTTGAACATATGGCACCAGAGAAGAAGAGAATGCAGCAGAGGGAGAGAGGGAATTAAAATCTACTTTACTACTGGTGGAGCGAGTGTTTCCTCCCACTTTGTTTCACCCACTCGTCCTGGAGTGCTCTGTTCTGTCCGTCTTCTGTTAAAGTTTTTTTTTTTTTCCCCCACTGTTGTTTATTTAAGGGTGAGAGAAAAGATAAGAAAAAAAAAATCATTGACTTATTTTAGCATTGTATTATTGTTGGATTTGTTTTGGTTAAAATTTTTTTTTTTTTTTAGTAGGAACAGCAGCAAAGGAAAAACTTTTTTTTTTTTTTAAATACCTCAGATATTTTACAAAAATGTGTTTTTGATAAATACTGTATATTGCTAGTATAAATCATTTTTTCTCATTCTTAAATAACCAACTATTTGGAAAAAAAACAAACAAATTGAATCATTATATCGACTATCGCAGGTCAGATCCTTGAAAGTTGTGGAGTGGCAAAAGAAAAAGTTATGGTTTTTGGCTGCGGTCACTGTGGGACAGCACCTCAACAAGGCTAGCTAAAGGATGCTAAGCTAAAGATGTTTCTTTTATTTATTTATTTATTTTTTACGTAAACAGCAAACAGCAGCAAACCATGTGATCAAACACGTGACGCAGCCAATCACAGACAGGAGAATAAACAGCTTGTTGTTTATTCACTGATGTTTTTAACGTTTACATGTTTAACCTCCAGGTTAGCGAACACGTGAACCACCGTACCGTACAGTGTTGTGTTTAAATACCAACCAAGTATCGCTTTAGTGAGAACCAATAAGAAACTGTTGTACAGTAGATTAACATGATTGATTGGATCTCCCGGCAGATTAGTTCTGGTGCAGTGACCGTGTATTAAATACTTCATGTTTGACTCACAGTAACTGCTGCTTCAGGGAACTGCGAGTTCCTGGATGTGCGACGCTCGTGTTAGCGCGTTAGCTCCTGTGTTTGGCTTTGAGCTATAAGTCTTTTAACTGCTGTGGAAGCTTTCTTTTAGCATTATAGAATTATTGATTAGAGTGTGTTGCACAGGCGTGTGTGTGTAAATGAGTGTGTATGCGAGAGAGAGAGAGGGAGAGCGAGGGTGATAGAAAGAGATATCGTTATTGATCTTTTTGCAACATTTACACTTGCCTTAAATCTACCTTTGGACACATACACACTCACACACACACCTGTTTTCTGTTTGTCAGCACTTTAAAAACAACAATGTATATTCTGTTCGTCAGCACTTTAAAAACAACAATGTATAATTTAAAAACAGACACAACATCTAACAGGATTTGTCAGATTGACTTCTTAAAAATAAAAAACACTCCTCCAGGTGGCGTTAAATAACAACAAAGTCTTTGTTAGTGTTAATGATAAATTAATTATTCTCATCAAACTGATCTGAAAACAAATGAGTTGGGCCGGATTAGACAGTTCAGTGGATTAGGATTGGCCTGCGAGCCGCCAGTTGATGATCACTGTTGTACAGTTTATGAAATAGAGCCATTCATATCAAGAAATATGTGACTTAATGTTTTTTTTAAATGGAATATTAATAATTAAAATAATCAAAAACATTATTGTCAAAATAAAACAACAACAAAAAAGTAAAGTTTGTCAAACACTTACCTCACAAGGTCAAGTCACTCTCTCTGCTTTTACGCTCATTCGATTATGTGGAGTTTCCATTGCTTCCCACTCTGGCTGAACAGCACTCCAGTCAAGAGCATTTACAAGTGTATTTCTGAGTCTCCCAGCAGCGAGGCTGCAGGAAAGTAAACATGGCGGCGGCGGCAGGTGACATTTTCTGGAGCACTGTGACAGCTTTCATTTACATGTAGTTCAAAGTGTAGAGGTGATGTAATTTCACAGCGATTTGATGGCGCACAGCCGCGCTTTCATCAGCCGCGTGTAGAGGTGCACGCAGCTGTTCACAGCTAATGTAGCGGTAAATAAGAAGCAGGGCGGACTAAGACCTGCAGTCAGTAATCACCGTGAGGCCGACACCGACCAAATCAATCCCGCTCCCAGAGAAAGCCTTCATTTATGCCCTTTTTTTTGCATGAAAAATCCTGCCTCCGTGTCGTCCCTGCCTTCAGAAGGCTCTCTCTGATCAGGTTATGTTGGGACAACAGCGTCCGCACAAACAAACCAGTGAGACGGAGGCAGACGAGCCGCTGTGGCGACCCCTGTGGTGGAGCAGCCGAGCGAAATGAGGGAGCTCACGCAGACAGAGTGATTGGCTTCATGTGTACCGGTGTTTAGATTCTTTATTCTCCGCTCTGGTTATTACCCCCTGGTGGCAGAGACCAGATATCACTGTGGGATTAACCTGGAGTCAAAAAGTACTAGGACTCATTTATGATAGAATGAAATCTAATAGAATCTGATTTTGAACTTTTTGTACTTGTCATACATTTTCCCCACATAAAAGCCTAAAGAACGAACAAATTGGTAAAAACGCTGGAGGAGACAGAACCTGAAGTTTTTCACTGAAACATTCATCATCTATTCATCTCAGATCTATTATTTTCCTCTGGATTTATTTACTTAGATGCAGCAGCTGAGTGACTTGGTGACACTGTCTCGAACCCATGTAGTTGTGGCCATGGTGGTTTAGGATACAGTAGTGCATAGGGGGTCAAAGGTCAAGCACATGCAGAAGAAGGTTCCAGGTTTAGTTAAAAAAAAATATATATGTATAAATATATACATCCATATTGACGTTTTGATGTTTTTGACACCTCACTTAACACCAACAAACACCTCGAGTGTTTGTTGGTGTTAAGTGAGCGACTTACCTCCGTCTTCCACTTCTCTGTGACAGTTCAGGGACGTGAACCAACTTTGGTCCAAATTGGTTTTGTTAATCGCTCGTACCCAGGTTGCTGAGACATATGGGGACGCAGCGATCAGCTTCCCTGGAAGGTTCCAGATGATCGCAACGGCTCATTAGCATTTTAATGTACAACATCAAGCACAGGCAGCCAACTATGAATCAAAGAAGTGTCAGTGTCAGTGAAGACCAGGAGCAGGTGTACTGACTGGGTGAAGTCAGTATCACAGCATCAGTCTGCTGCAGTCAGGGACATTTTGAAGTTTTTAAATCATTTAACGTCTACAGTTGTCATATAAAACGAAAAATGACAACTGATTTAATCTCTAATAATTTTTTTACAACAACAAAAAAACCAATCCCTGTTCCCCCTGCAGTGCCTTAGTGTACCACTGATGGTCTGCGTACCACAGGTTTGGGGTAAAAGACTTTAAACTGCAGTTCTCGCTTCTGAATTCGCATCTGAATTTCTGTAAATAATGATAATTTTAGTAGATCTTTTTGGTCGACAAAAAAAGAAAAAAATTAAAATATCTATATTCTATCATAGTTTTTCTAGATACTGATTAGTATCTTACAGTAGTAGATTATTCTAGATTTTTAGATTTGGTCGGCCAATGACCCCCCCCACCCCCCAACTCCCCCTGGACCTCATTTGAATTTGAGACCCCGGCTTTAGGTCCTTCCAAACATTGTTGTCTGACATACTTCTTAGCATATGCATGACCTTTGACCTAATCCTGGTGATATAAAAACACTTCATACGCTCTCATAGTTTGGAAGCTTTTTACCTCTCAAATATAATAATGAATTCGCTCGTAGACATTGAGTCGTGCTCCAGAAAGCAGCCGGTGTTAATGACAGGGTTATTCTCAGCCGTTTGTGCTACTTTTTAAAATAAACCTGAGCCGTGTAAACAGTTGTCGAGCAGCTCTCCTCCACCGCCTCTTTAAGCTAATTGTTTGGCTCTTGAGCCCGAGGCTCGACTTAAATCACTCCTATAAACACTGTTACGGCCCCAGACAGGGGGAGTTATTGACCTGCTGCTCTGACTACGGGGGTGTTTGGC